CATAAATGCTTTTTTAAACAGTTGGTTTGCTTAAATCAGGATCCAAAAAACGATCCATCTATTGCATTTCTTTGTAGGTTTATCTGTAGGTCCCCCTTCTTTTTTTCCTTTGCTGTTTATTAGTTGAAGGAACTGTGTCTTTGTCCTTGTAATTTCCCATTCAGGATTTTGCTGATTGCTTCCCATGGTGGCATTTAACATCTTCTTTCCGTGTATGCCATCTAAATTAGTAGTTAGATATAGAGTTTCAATCAGTAAATATACATCACACATTATAGCATGTACTTTCAGGGGTACACAATATCTGGTTATTTCTCTTTGTGATGTTAGTGGACATTGATGTTTATTGCCCCAGTCCACAATTTCATTAATGATTTGCTACTTAATGTGTCTTTGATCTCTGTAGATAGGGAACTGTTTTGGCACCTGTTTCAGGAATTCTGCAACATATCTATTAATGCTTGTTACACCAGGCTAGATTCTCTGGCATGTACGAAAGAAATAATACTCTCAAAGAATCTTTAAACTTCTTTTTTTTTTTGTAATCCTCACCAGGGGATATTTTTTCCATTGCTTTTCAGAGAGACTGGAAGAGAAACATTGATATGAGAGAGACACATTGATTGGTTGCTTCCCATACGCGCCCCAACCAGGGCCGGGGATCGAGCCTGCAACTGAGGTATGTGCCCTTGTCCAGAATAGAACCCTGGACCCTTCAGTCTGCGGGTTGACACTTTAACTACTGAGCCAAGCCGGCTAGGGCTCTGCAGACTTTTTGAGGGAGAAAAGGGGACTAGTGTTTATTAGGGCCTACTGTTCTAGCCACTTCATGTTTATCATCTCATTTAATCTTCATTACAGTTCTTTGACACATATCATTACCATTTTACACCTCAAGAACAGGATCTTGGAGAAGTTAATAATGTACTTGGACCAGTTACACAGCTAGAAAATGGTGAGGGAAAAACACAGTACCCAAATGCCTGCATGGGCAGTGTAAATGAAAGAGGTAAAATGGGAAGACATAACAGTCAGGGCTTCTGGCCTTCCGATGAGTCTCAAAGGACAGCTGAGAGACCAGGGTGATCTGAGATTGGTATAGAGGACCTTTTGTTGGAGAGCTCGTGTCAACAGTCAGACTGGGAATGGGCACCTGTTGGGGCTGGGCCTGAGTCATTGGAGGTGTGTGTAAGATAATGGTACATGGCACTGGATCATGGACAGTACCAAAGCAGAAGGATGGAGCAGTTTTTCTGCAGAGGAAATAATTGGTGTTTCCACCAGGGCTTATAGCCATTGGGTTATTGAGAAGGAGACTGATGAGTGGTTCTCTGCATACTGGGAAGGAGGTAGAGGTCTAGCTGACTATAAAGTTCCAGTGCCAAGTGCAGATATGGTTGTTATTTCCTGTGCTCTCCCTGCTGAGAGTTCAGGCCGCTGGAACGGTATCACAGTCTGTCTCTTGGTAGATCTTGTCATGCCAGCTGGAGACCCTGTATCATTGTTGGAGGGCCATTGAGGGCTTTTACATTGTGACACAATGTAATGACGGGCTACAGGTCATCTCTCGGTTGTCCTCTATATATCTGCAACACCACAGGACTATATGTGGGCTTGTCTTCTCCTACCACCTGCTCCTCTTCCTGGGGTCCTCGTGTCCACTCAGGTCCCCAAGACAGAAAACCCAAGTCATGCTGGGGTATTTCCTCTTTTTTCCTCATTTGTCACGGAGTCTTGTTCCTAGCACCTTCTGATTATCCCTGAATCCGCCCCTCCTTTCTGTTGCCCTTGCCTCAGCCTTAGGTCAGGTTGTACTGATATCTTGCCTTGGTTACAGCTGTACCCTGTTAGCTAGTCTTCCAGCCTAACCTCTGTTTCTCTTCTAAGGATACCACGAAATCTCCTGACTTACGAAGATTTGATTTGATTTTCAGAATGTCATTTCCTCCGTTCCACCTGGTGTGGCTTCCACCCACTCTCTGGCTTTGACTACAAACTCTCCTTGTGTGTTGTGCCTTCCACGATGCGTGATGAACTCCTTGGGGTTCTTGCAGCACTCCATGGTCTCCCATTCCTCCATGCCTTGACATAGCCAGTATCTTCTTCCCCCAAACAGCGTCCTCCCCCTTTTCCACGGCCTTACTCCTTCCTCAAAACTTGCTCGGGTGTTTATTTTTTGACTTCCATTAGAAAGGGTGACTTCTCTGACCCCATCACCTCTAACATCTTCTGAGGTTTCTCTGTGTTCCCATAGTCCCGACCAAGTGCTCCCTGGATCTCTTCTGTCTCCCTTGCTGGTGTGCAAGCTCTCTGAGGGCAGCTTTGTTGATATAAAGTGAGAATGAAATAGCATCAGCATTTCATAAACCAGCATTCTTTTTTACTATACCTTGCTTAGAACAAGTAAAGAATAAATGCCTTCTTTTTTGAATTAGAGATAATTTTGTATAGCTAATTGTGTTGTACTTCTGTTCCAGTTTCTTGGTTTCTTCCACTTTATTATTTTTTTTTTGTCTTTCAAAGGAAATTGTATTTACTAACATTTATCTATATATTTTCTCCTGTTTTTGGAGCCATCGTGATCCTTTTTTCTGTCACTTTTTGCAGGTAGTATTTGTCTTTTTCTCTACCTTTTTTTCCATTCTTTATTTTTAACTATTTTAAATTTTTTTAAAATATATTTTTATTGATTTCAGAGAGAGGAAAGGAGAGGAAAAGAGAGACATAGAAACATCAATGATGAGAGAGTCAATTGGTCAAGCGCGCAACTGGGCATGTTCTCTGACCGTGAATCGAACCCTGATCGCCTGGATCCTAGGTCAACGCTCAACCGCTGAGCCATGCCTGGCCGGGCTATTTTTGACAATTTAAAAATACAAGATTAACCCAACCAGTGTGGCTCAGTGGCTGAGCGTTGACCCAGGAACCAAGAGGTCACTGGTTCAATTCCTAGTCAGAGGCACATGCCCTGGTTTCGCGCTTGACCCCCAGTAGGGGGCATGCAGGAGGCAGCTGATCGATGATGTTTCTCTCATCAGTATTTCTATCTCGCTATCTTCTCCTTTCTTCTCTCTCTAAAAAATCAATAAAAACATTTTAAAAAAAATACAAGATTAGATATGGATTCTTAAAATTTAGTTCATTATTATTCTGCTATAGATGCTTCTGTAGGGGGATTTCTTATTAACTGAGCCTTGAAAAACTGGAATATTAATTTTCTGCTTATTTACATATTTATGAATATGTTTACTAAGTTCATTAGATGTTAATTTTAGCATCTCTCTATATAATTAATATAGGAAAAGCCTTTATTCTTATATTACCAAGAGCATCAAATAAGATCAAATGGTCTTAGATAAATGTGTTGGCTTTGATTGCCACAGGTAACTCCTCTCTCAAGTTGCTCTGTCCTGGGAAGTATGAATGTCTTCTTAGATTTTTTTCTCAGTAGATTGTGTATAGGCCCATTAAATGATAATCTGTTTGGGGTTTTTTAGGTCCTCAACCTAGGACACTTTTTCCATTGCTTTTTCAGAGAGAGTTGACGGGAGAGAGAGAGAGAGAAAGACATCGATATGAGAGAGACACATTGATTGGTTGCCTCCCACACGCACCCTGACCGAGGCCGGGGATCGAGCCTGCAACAAAGTACATGCCCTTTGTTGGAACTGAACCAGGACCCTTCAGTCCATAGTCCGACACTCTAACCACTAAGCCAAACTGGCTAGGGTGATAATCTGTTTTTTTAATTGTGGCAAAATACACATAACATATATAACATCATCTTAACCATTTTTAAGTGTACAGTTCACATTGTTGTGAAACCATTATGCAGAAGAACTCTTTGTAATTTTGCAAAACTGCAACTCTATACCCATTAATCAACTCCGAATTCCCCTTGCTTTACATATATATATATATATATATATATGTGTACATATATATATATATATGGTATGGTATGATTTCATGTCAGTAAATGTATTTACACACTATTTTTATGTAATCAGTTATTCAAAAGGATAATAATGTACACGAAACAAAATCCAGATGATACAACTATGGCATTCAGTAAAAACAGCAAGTCTCCCTGCTGTCCCCAGCCATCTATATCCTCTCCTAGAAGTAACCACCTTTCCCAGTTTCTACATATTGTTCACATGGTTTCTACATATTGTTCAGTTCATGTACCCCAGGCATTATTGTTCTTGATTTTTTACTAATATAAAAGCACTGAGATGAGTATCCTTACTGCTAAAACTTTAACCACTTTCTTAATTATTTTCTTAAACTAGTATTTCTGAAAGTAGTATTTTGGGGGCAAAGGGCATATATATATTTAAATATATCTTTATTGATTTCAGAGAGAGGAAAGGAGAGGGAGAAAAAGAGATAGAAACATCAATTATGAGAGAGAGTCATTGATTGGCTGCCTCCTGCACGCTGCCCCACTGGGGATTGAGCCTGAAACCTGAGCATGTGCCCTGACCGGGAATCTAACTTTGATCCCTTGGATCATAGGTCGATTCTCAACTGCTGAGCCACGCCAGTCGGGCAGGGCATACATATTTTTAAGGCTTTTGATGCATACTGCCAAATTTTTTGCAGAAGTGTTTTGCCATTTTTTCTGTGCCACCAAAAGTATATGCCAACAGTGGGAAAAATTGTTGTTGTTATTTTTTACACACTTTTTTTTCATAAGATTTTTAAAATTGATTTTTAGAGAGAGAAAAGGGAGAGGGAGGGAGAGAAAGAAACATCAATGTAATAGCAAAACAGATTGGGTGCCTCCTACACACCTCCTACTGGGGTTTGGGGATCAAGCCTGCAACCCAGGCATGTGCCCTGACCTGGGATCCAGGCAACCTTTCAGTGCACAGAATGATGTGCAACCAACTAAGCCATATGGGCCAGGGTGGGAAGAACTATTTTAATAAGTGATTTATAGGATCCTAGGGACAAAGTTAACTGTGCTTCTGTTTGCAGAAACCCACTTAATTAAAGACATGATTATTACTTTCCTGCTCTGTCTTCCTAAAAGGTTCTCGTAAATGTTTTCTTGGAGCATTACAAATGGAAATGACAGAAATGACTGGTGTGTCACTGAAACGTGGGTCCCTAGCTGTTGAAGATAATGACAGTCAGGCCCCAGCTGAGGAGGCAAAAAGACAGAAGTTCTCAGAAGGCTGTCTGACCAAAGGCCAGGATGGGCTAGAAAAGAACTCTCCACTCAGCAGTGAAAATGTGCCTGGGCTACCTGAAATTGTAAGTGCTGGAAAGATTGAAAAAAATTCTGATGCCCAGTTGGAAGAAGAGGAAGAGGAGGAAGAAGATGGCCTTTCAGAGGAGGGTGAGGAGGAGGAGGAAGCTGAAAGTTTTGCAGACATGATGAAGCATGGGCTCACTGAACTTGATGTAGGCATCACCAAGTTTGTAAGTTCTCATCAAGGATTCTCAGGAATCTTAAAAGAAAGGTATGTTTATTTTATGTACAAAGTTATTGTTAGTTATATTGGTTGTTTTCTTTAGAAAGAAATCTGCAGTATAGTCTTCTATTTATTTCTACCCCCAAGGATTAATTTCACAGGTAGTCAGAAAGGATGAGACTGCCCAGATGAGTAAATGAAACCACACAGTGTTTGTCCTTTCCCATCTGACTGACTTACTTAGCATAATACCCTCAGGTATATTCATGTTGTTGCAAATGGCAGTATTCATCTTTTCTTATGGCTGAGTAGTACTCCATTGTGTGTGTGTGTACACACACCACATTTTCTTTATGCATTCTTTCGTGGAGGGACATTTAGGTGGTTTTCCCTGTCTTGACTACTGTAAATAATAACTGCAATGAATGTGGGGCATATATATCTTTGCTGCATACTGTCTTCCATAGTGGCTAAACCAATTTAAAAGCACAGGGTTCCTCTTCTCCACATCCTCTCCAGCACTTGTTATTTCTTGTGTTCTTGATAATAGCCATTCTAACAGGTGTGAAGTGATATCTCATTGTGGTTTTGATTTGCATTTCCCTAATAGTGAAGTTGAACATCTTTTCATATGCCCATTGGCGATCTGTATATCTATCTTCCTTGGAAAAATGTCTGTTCAGACCCTCTGCCCATTTCTTAATCAGATTTTTTTGTTGTTGAGTTGTATGAGTTCTTTATATATTTTGGATATTAACCCCTTATCAAAAATATTATTTGCAAATATCTGCTCCCATTTGGTTGGTTGCCTTTTTGTTTAGTTGATAGTTTCTTTTGCTGTGCAGAGCTTTTTAGTTTGATTTCCCATTTGTTTATTTTTGGTTTTGTTTTTCATGCTTTTGGAGTCAGATTCACAAAAACACCACTGAGACCAATGTCCAGAAGCTTAATGCCTATATTTTCTTCTATATATTTTATTGATTTTGGTCTTACATTCCAGTCTTTAATCCATTTTGAGTTACTTCATTTTTTAGTATGGTATAAGATCTGGTCTAGTTTTATTCCCTTGCATATGGCTGTCTAATTTTCCTAGCATCATTTCCTGAAGAGACTTTCCTTTCTCCATTGTATATTCTTGACTCTTTTGTCATAAATTAGTTGCCTACAAAGTGTGAGTATTTCTGGGCTCTCAATTATGTTCCATTGGTCTGTGTATCTGTTTTTATGCCAATATTGTATTGTTTTGATTACTGTGGCTTTGTAGTATAGTTTGAAATTGGAGAGTGTATTACCTCTGGCTTCATTCTATTTTCTCAGGATTGCTTTGACTATTTAGGGTTTTTTGTGGTTTCTCACAAATTTTAGAATTTTTTGCTCTATTTCTGTGAAAAATACCATCGGGCTTTTGATGGGGGATTGCATTGAATCTGTAAATTGCGTTAAGTAATATGGACATTGTAACAATATTAATCTTCTAATCACTGAACACGAAATGTTTTTCCATAACTTCATGTCTTTGGTTTCTTTCAACAATGTCTTGTAGTTTTCAGTGTACAGGTCTTTCCCCTCCTTTGTTAATTTTATTCCTAGGTATTTTATTATTTTTGTTGCAATTATAAATGGAATTGTTTTTTTCATTTCTCTTTCTGATAGTTTGTGGTTAGCACATAGAAACAAACAGATTTTTCTATATTGAGTTTGTATTTTGCAATATAACTGTATTTGTTTATTGTTTTTAATAGTTTTGGATGGAGTCTTTAGAATTTTCTATATATAAAATCATGTCCTCTGCAAATAATGACAGTTTTACTTCTTCATTCCCTGTTTAGATGCCTTTTATTTCTTTTTCTTGCCTTATGGCCCTGGCTAGGTCTTCTGGTACTATGTTGAATAAAAGTGGTAAGAGTAAGTGAGCATTCTTGTCCTATTCCTGATCTTAGAGCGAAAGCTTTCAGTTTTTCACTATTGAGTATGATGATAGCTGTGGGTTATTATGTTGAGGTACTTTTCTTCTGTATCCATTTTACTGAGAATGTTTATCATAAATGGATATTTTATCTTGTCAGTGCTTTTTCTACATATGAGATGGTCATTTGATTTTTACCCCTCATTTTGTTAATGTGGTGTATCATATTTATTGATTTGTAAATGTTGAACCATTCGTGCATCCCTAGAATAAATTTCACTTTATCATCGCCTATGATCCTTTTAATGTACTGTTGTATTTGATTTGCTAGTATTTTGTTGAGTTTTGTATCCGTATGTTTATGAGAGATATTGGCCTGTAATTTTCTTTTTGTGTGCTGCTCCTTGCCTGGCTTTGGTGTCAGGGTAATGTTGGCCTTGTAAATGAGTTAGGAAGTATCCCCTCCTCTTTAATTTTTTGCAAGAGTTGGAGAAGAATAGATACTAAATTTTCTTTGAATGTTTGGTAGAATTTACCAGTGAAGCCGTCTGATCCTGGACTTTTGTTTTTGGGGAGGTTTTTGATTACTCTTTCAGTGTCCTTACTAGGATTGGGCTATTCAGGTTTTCTGTTTCTTCATGATTCAGTCTAGGAAGGTTGCATAATTCTAAGAATTTGTCCATTTCTTGTAGATTGTCCAGTTTGGTGGCATATAGCCTTTCATAGTATTCTTGTATGATTTTTTGTACTTCTGTGGTATCCATTGTAATTTCTCCACTTTCATTTCTGATTTTATTTACTTGAGTCTTCTCTCTTTTTTTTCTTTAGTGAGTCTAGCTAAAGATTGGCCAATTTTGTTTATCTTTTCAAAAAACCAACTCTTCATTTCGTTGATATTTTCGATTGTCTTTTTAGTCTCTACTTTATTTATTTCTGCTCTAATTTTTATTTTCTTCCTTCTACTGATTTGGGGTTTCATTTGTTCTTCATCTTCTAGTTCCTTACGGTGTAATGTTGGATTGTTCAATTGAGATTTTTCTTGTTTCTTGAGATAGGCTTGTATTGTTATGAACTTTCCTCTTTGTACCACTTCTGCTGCATCTCAAAGATTTTTAGAATGCTGTATTTTTATTTATCTCTGTGTATGTTTTGATTTCTTCTTTTACTTCTCCATTGAACCAATAGTTATTCAGTAGCATGTTGTTTAAACTCCACATATTTCCAGTTTTCCCAGCTTTCTTCTTGTAGTTGATTGCTAGTTTTGTACAGTTTGTACAGAAAAGATGCTTGATGTGATTTCAGTCGTCTTAAATTTATTGAGACTTGTTTTTTGTCCCAATATATGGTCTATCCTTCAGAATATTCCATGTGCACTTGAAAAGAATGTGTATTCTGCTGGTTCTGGGATGGAAGTTCTGTAAATATAAAGTCCACCAGTTCTAAGGTATAATTTAAGGCTGATGTTTCCTGGTTGACTTTCCATCTGGATGATCTATCTGTTGGTGTAAGTGGATGTTAAAGTATCAGGAGGTCTTTACATTCTGATACAAAGCTAAGGTATGGCTCAAAATTCATTAAGAAACCAGAAACGATAACCCTGTATTACTTCTGAGCACTGAAAACTTCTTTTTAAGAATTCCTTGTTTTGCACAGTAGTAAAGCTTACTGTTGATAAACTTCTTCGTAAAATTAACAGGAAACAAAATGTTACTGCTCTGAAGGTTTGTGTTTTCTTTTCATCAGATACTCTGACTTCATTGTTCACGAAATAGGAAAAGATGGACGCATCAGCCATTTGGATGACTTGTCCATCCCAGTGGATGAGGAGGTAGGAGCCAGCTCTCCAGCAGAAGTCACCTTCTGTATAAAAATAGCACTGTTTAGAAATCATAGAAATGCAGAGCTTTAATAGCTTGAATTCTGTATGTGACTCACTGGGAGTTTTTATGGTTATTTTAAAGGATCCTTCAGAAGATGTATTTACAGTTTTGACAGCCGAAGAAAAGCAGCGTTTAGAAGAGCTTCAGCTTTTTAAAAATAAGGAAACCAGTGTTGCCATTGAGGTAAATGGTACAAAACTATATGACAAGGTTTTATAGGATTTTCACTGCTTCTTTTTGGGTAGATGTTAATAAGTGTCTATTTGAAAAATTGTAGTCATTAACAAAAGGATGATGTTGTCCTGTTTCATCTAAAAGGGCATTACGTACACTAAAAAATGTTTTTGTCAGTGACAGATAACCACTATCCACATAAACTATGGCCAAAAAAAAGTAGTTTAAAAAAAAAAGTTTCATATGACCACAAATCAACAAAGAAATCTGTTGTTTTGAACCTCATAGCGACTGTTAATATCATATAGTGTCTACTGGACAGCCTGATAGTCAGAGATGTGGCCCTGATAAGGAGGCCCTGTCCCTCCCTCCAGTGCCAGCAGCCTCTTGGTCTCAGATGGGGCTCTGGGAGGGAAAGGAATTGGGGGAAGGAAGTAAGAGAGTGTTTCTTTGCTAAGCCTAAGTCTACTTCTACTCAAGAAAAGGAGAGTTTGGCTACTATATAGAATAGTAAATTCCTTCTTTAAAGCTTTTGTTAACGAAAATTTTATTCTTCTTTATCAGTGCTGTCCAGTGGAATTATGTTTTTAATTTTAAATCCAAAAATTTAGAAGTGAAAAGAAACAAATGAAACTAATTTTAATACATTTTCTTTATTCTAATACTTCAAAATTTATTTCAATATAGAATTGATATTTTTAAAATTACTGAGATGTTTTTCATTGTGTTTTTCGTACTAAGTCCTTAAAACCCTTTGTTAAATTGATAGCACATCTAAGTTTAGACTAGCCACATTTCAAGTGCTCAGTTGTTACATGTGACTAGTGGCTACTGTATGGGACAGAGCAGCTCTAGGTGGTATTTATGCAGGGTAATGTGATACAGGATTTTAAGAATGTTGTAGCACGAGAGTTTTAGAATTTTAAGTTTATGTTCAATTAATTTTGTAGCATATTTTAACAACTTATTGGATTTGGGGGTGTCTGAAATTCCCCCTTCCATCACCCCTAGTTAGTAACAGTTTATAACTTTTCAGAAATCACTGTCTGCCTCCTGCCCTCATCTCCTCTGTTCCCCCCAACTAAAACTTCCCAAAAGTGTGTGATATTACAACAACTTTAAAGATCTTCAATAATTGAATTTCCTTATAGACAAAAATGTCAAGGAGAAAATTTCTAAGAATTGCTTTTAAGACTAGTCCAGGAGGATGGTCCAGGTTTCCCTTACTTGTGTAATGCAGTGGTATATCTTAACCTCACACTATACATTTTCTACCTAGGTAGCAAGATTTATCATCTTGCAAATTATAGTTACGCCATCTACTGAAAATTTTTGCCTTTAAATGACATAAGCCATGAGCAGGTGTCGTTGTCTGTAAAATGAGGAGGACGGACTTTCTGAATTTTTGAGATCTAAATATGTTTTCACTCATACACACGAACCATGATTCCAACTCAGTGCTTTCAGAAAATTCTAGATCTAGACTCACTTTTCAGTATGAAAATGTCCCTTATCTATAATTATAATATAGCTTTTCTTTTACATTTTGCTAAACTACTAAGGTTAGCTAGTAGTAGTATCTCGGTGTTTTTTAGCTTGCATGTTGCAGTCCATTAGTGGGTCATAAAACCAGTTTAGTGAATCTTAACTTTTTTTAATGCAATAAAGTAAAACGGAAAATGACAATGTATTGCACATGCAGTAAGGGTAAGTATTGTTTCTTTAAATTTTTTAAATTGTTAATAAGGTATATACACATACATACTCTTGCTGTTGAATCCAGATGTGAAATGTACTTCTTAATGTGAGACACATTCAAAAATTGAAAAACAGTTATGTAACTAATAAGTTTACTTTTTCTTGATGTTGGTTTTTCTTTGTTGTGAACAAATGTGCTAGAACATCATTATAAAATAATTCAGTGTAGAATTCATTATGAGGTCATTGTAGGTTGGACTATTTGAGGGAGTTGAGTTTCTGATATCCCAAAGGCCCAGCTTGCCTACATTTCCATCTGTGAGTCCCTGAGAGGGAGCGTCTGCGAAGTGCCTGGTACAGTGCCTGGCATATGGACATGCTCAGTAAACAGCCTCTTTGGATTTGTATGTTTGAAGCTCTAAAAGATCTCTGAAATCATATCCATGTACTTTTGTTATTTTACATGAGTAGTGTTTTTACTCATTCATTAGTATAATTCCCCTATTTAATGTTTGTTAAATTAGTAATATCATTATCTCTGTTTTTAATAGGTTGTTGAAGACACCAAAGAGAAAAGAACCATCATCCATCAAGCAATTAAATCTCTGTTTCCAGGATTAGAGACAAAAACAGAGGATAGAGAAGGAAGGAAATATATTGTAGCCTACCATGCAGCTGGGAAAAAGGCTCTGGCAAGTAAGTGTGTGAGTTGCCTGGCATTTCTTCTGCCAGGTGATCATGAGAGGCAGATCCGCTACTCCTTCTCCTTCCCTGGTCATATTCAAGGGCTACTTTGCTGTTGTTCAAAGAAGGATATTGATCATGTCAGTCCTTCAAAGAAGGTGAATAATATCATCCAGATACCAGAGCAGTCCTATAGAATGTCTGTCTGATATGGGGCATTAGGTCTTTTATATGAGTAAAGATTTGCTGAAATTATAGTCCTGCCTGAGAGAGTGTCTTAGGAATTTGATGTGTACCCTGAAGAGCGGAGTGAGCTGAGTGGCAATTCAAGAAGAAAATGCAAGGATATGCTTATTCTGTGTTGTTAATGGAGGAAAGAAAGCTTTCAAATGAACAGAAAATGCTTGTCACCTATCCCGGTAGTATATTTTTGGCAAAGTGCCTCTATTGAAAGAGCTGCTGATTTCCAACTATGAGTATCTTCACTCACATATAAAAACATGGAATAGCCCGGGTGGGCATGGCTCGGCAGTTGAGCATCGACCCAGGATCCAGGAGATCATGATTCAGTTCCCAGTCAGGGCACATGCCCGGGTTGCAGGCACAATTCCTCAGTCGGGGGCGTGCAGGAGGCAGCCGATCAATGACGACTCTCTCATCATTGATGTTTCAACTCTCTCTTTCCCCCTCCCTCCCTCTCTCTGAAATCAATAAAGATATATATATATTTTTGAAAAATTAAAAACAAAACATGGAATATATGGAAAAATGCCCCTTTGCCCAAGACAGTGTTTCATTGTGTATCATTCATTTGAAATAAGTGTATTATCGGTGAATCTCTGATAATTTATGTTCTGATACATTTTTTACAGCTGTGAAAATTTCCACTTGCATATAACCTTAAGAAATATTAGATACTTTTTTTGTTTTTTACTTATTAAATCAGCAGATAAAATTTTAATGAAAATTATAGTAGGAAAATGTTATATCCTCACCCTCCTCCCCTACTAGTAATGGCCCCATTAGCGAAGAGTTACTTCTAGATATATGAGTTAGAGGAAAACTCCAAGACTGTACTTAAAAAGACTGTCCAAAGCATTAATGCTTTGTCATACTCCCTTAGGTTATTGCTGTGAATGGATGAAACCTTTATTTTTGTTTTGTTTTGTTTTTTAAAGATTTTTAATTGATTTTTAAAGAGAGAGGAAGGGAGAGGGAAAGAGAGAGAGAAACATGGATGTGAGAGTAAAACATTGACCGGCTGCCTCCTGCACGCCCCCTACCTGGGATTGAGCCAGGAACTTGGGCATGTGCCCTGACCGGGAATCGAATTGGCAACCTTTTGGTGCATGTGACAACACCCAACCAGCTGAGCCACACCAGCCAGGGTGAAACCTTTATTTTTTTTAATCATGGTCTAGTGAAATGTGAGGGTATAAGAAAAATGGCAGAAATAAGGTTTAGCTGTGTCTGAGAAAATAATATAGTGAAATGAATAAGTTTGGGTGGTAACAGAAATGAGAAACCTTGAGCAGTTGGGGAGAAGAAGGTAGGGATTGGAGGCCACTTCTCAGTGGACACCAGAAAGAAAAGTGGGATGAAATGTTCCGAAATTACTTATGGGTATGTGTTGTTAATTACTTCCAAATGCACAAACTAATGACTTGGTTTTACTATATGTTTCTTTGATGTCTGAGTCATAGTATAAAATATTACCTTAACAGTCTTTCTTCAGCCAGAGTTGTTCGAGAGAATTAAGCCCAGTAGAATATGATCTGAGTGACTATTTTTTCCATTCTCCCAAGATTGGAATATAGCTGGTAACTATTCTAGATGTAGAGGAGAGAAGATGACTTGCTTCCTACAGTACAGTGCCTTGGAACCCAGGTTGAGAAGGGCTGCTAGGGAGATATTCCTTATAGAGAAGCAGTCCATGTTGGTCAGCCACCCTCTTGCAAAGGCAAGAAGAAAAGGCAGGATCTTGTTCTGCTGAGTGTGGTCATGAGGAAGCAGATTGGAAAAAGCAAAACCTATGTTTTTTCGACTGGCCTCTTGGAATTGATCATTATTTCTTAGAGGATGCCAGGTTTTGTGATCTTCAGGGAGGGGAGTTAGGGTATTTATAAACCAAAGTTGCCATTACAGTTTTCTCACCCTTTCTTCTCAAGCGAGTGGTACCAGATCTCTCATGTTCTGTCTTTATCTATCTACATTTTCTGTGCTTATGCCACACCCACCATTCTTTTTTTTTTTTTCAAATATGTGATATACACCACCCCTCCCTATTTCCCTTTGCATATCTTCAGTGAAATATGGATTTCTCACTTTAAAAAGAAGCAGAAAGGCAGGTTAGATTGGATCAACACTTGCACAGAGATCCAAACCTCTTGGGCTTGAGGTGTGTCATTTAGTGAAGGATGGATTAGAGGTCTGCCCTCTGAGCTCTCCTCTCCTACCTCCTCATGGACCCAGACAGGCACTTGAGAGCCTGCATTCCTCTTTTATGAATCTAGATCCCCACCCGTGAACACAGAGTGGCTTAAAGTAACCACCATTGGAAAAGCAGGGAGAGCTGGTATCCAGAGACTATTGTTTGTGCTTCTACAAATAGAACCCAATACCAATGACAGCTTCTCCTCCTGGGCCACCTTGTCTAGCATTTGAATTAATTAATTTTTATTTTATTATTATTTTTTTAATCCTCACCCAAAGAAATTTTTTCCATTGCTTTTCAGAGAGAGTGGAAGGGGGGGAAGAGAGAAACATCTGTGTGAGAGAGACACATTGATTGGTTGCCTCCCATATGTGCCCCGACCAAGGCCAAGGATGGAGCCCACAATAGAGGTACACGCCCTTGGCTGGAATCAAACCCTGGATCCTTCAGTCCAAGAGCTGACGCTCTAACCACTGAGCCATACCAGCCAGGGCTGAATTAATCAGCTTTTAAATCTACATTTGTAATGATGTTAAAGTCCCTTTATACCACACCCTTATATAAATTATTGTTTTCTCAAATAGAGCCATGCATTCTAAACCATAAGCATAGTGCATTCTGAATCATGGTGCCCAAACGTCACAAATTACCAGCCATTTTAGCTTAGCTGTTATTTTGTGTGTTAATCCAGTCTTGCAGATAGGGTACATAGATTTACCTACCAAAGCATACATAGAGCATTTTTCTGAAACTATCATGTAATTATTATTAAACCATGTAATTGAGTAAATTGATTTATGTTTTGAGATAGATGATATACATTACAAATACCTGTAAGAACTTCTTTTTAAAGACAAGTGAAAAAAATTTTTTGCCATGTGATGTGTAGAGGTTCTCCATACTTTCTGAAATGATGGTTCCCAGCAGGGATACCTAGAGGTAGAAATCCACAGATACTCAGGAGGGAGAGCCAGACAGATAAAAAGGAAACTCTCTGGGAGAGACTAGTGTGATGGAATCCACAGGAAGAGGGCATTCCAGTAACCAGAGTACTTAGAAGTGGGAAACATTACAGATAGGTCCAGCAGAAGAGAACTCTGAAATGCCTGTCAGTTTTTAGCAACGTGGAAATCAGTGGCATCTTTGCCAGAGCATTTCAGTGGAATAAGATTGGAAACCAGATTACACAGTAGGTTGAAGTGGAAGGCAGTAAATACAGACTGTTTTTTCAAATAAGCTATAGAGGAGAAAGGAAAGGAACATGGTTAAGGAGAGGGTAGACAGAAGTTTCGTTTTTAAAGTGGAAGAGCTCTGACGTTATTGATATACTGAAGGGAAAGAGCCAGTGCAGAGGGAGGGTGAAAATTCCAGAAGGAGAGTGATAATGGATGGAAGCTGAAAGGTTGGTGTGCAAGGGTGCAGCAGTGGAAATGGCCTTGAATAAGAAGGAAAGAATGTTCTGCATGCTACCCCATCCTGTCATCTTTCTTGAGCTACAAACATTTTTTCTTCCTTATTCATGAGAATCTCTGTCCACAGTACATGAGTCGTCTTGAACGTTTCTTTGGTGTCTGTTTCTACTAGACTGGGGCTGCCATATCAGACCATCAGAAGGCTGCTTCTGCTTCTGATTATCTCAGCCTGAGACTTCTTCGCATTAACATTTTAAATTAGAATGTCTCAAAAATGTCTGAAAGTTATTTTAAATTCACTTAAGTTGTAAAGCTACTTAGCATTCTAAGGATTTGGAGTTTTATAAAGTTAAACTATCCAAAATAAGTTGAGACTCACAGATTTTCTGTTAATTCATATCTTACTATTTTGTATACTGAGCGCACTTAGAAGAATAATCTTTGTATTTGTTATTTGTAGAGGAGGTAATTGTATGCATGCTCAGTGCTTGAATTTGCTAATAAATGATGCATGCTTTTGAGCCGAAACTCATACTCAGTTGTAATAGTTATTTAGTTTTTTAGTCTTCTGGCTTCATTTATTTCTTGCCATTTTGGTTTATTATGAAAGTACTGAAGGGGTAGTTTAGGGAAAATGTAGTTACACTTCATCAACTTTTACAAGTATTTTTTTTTAACTTTTATTTATGGACATTTTCAGATATGCACATAAATAAGGGAGGTAGTATATTAACCCCATTATAGCCATCAACTGTCTTCAAGATTCTTAACATTCTATTGTTTTTGTTTGGTTTATTTCTCCCACTTTTTTTTTGTTGGAGTATTTTAAACAAAATTCTACATAGCACTTTATTTCACTCATAAATACTTCAGTATGTATCTAACAGATGACTTAAAACCATAAACCACTATCACATCCAACAAAACCAACAATAAGTTCTTAATACTTAATATCCAGGGCATGTTCAGTTTTTCCCTGGTTATCTCAGAAGTGTCTTTTACATACAGATGACTTGTTCAAATGATGACACAAACAAGTTAAGAACATTGCATTCAATGGATCTCTTAAACCTCTTTGAATCTGTTGGTTCAAGAACTATTTTCCATAATAACTTCAAATTTTTTCAAATAAAAAATATTTGTAACTCAGTACAGGAAACTCACAAAACACGAAGCAAAACAATAATTACTTTCAGTCTCATCACCAAAAGTTAATCACAAAGAGCATTTTGGTACATGTCCTCCCATATTGAAGGAAATAAATCTCTAGATGGGGAAGCGTTTTGCATCCAGTCTGTTTTTTTTTTAATTTATTTGAGAGAAAGAGAGAGACATCAGTTTGTTGTTTCACTTATTCATGCATTCATTGGTCGATTCTTGTATGTGCCCTGACCGGGGATTGAACCCATAACCTTGGCGTATCAGGCTGACACTAACCATCTGAGCAACCTGGCCAGCGCCTTGCATCCAGTATTAAACCTTTTGTTACATCTGGTGGGTAGAGACAGTGCAGCTTTGAGGATGAGCTGACATGCCGTTGTGAGGGGATAGAAACAGGGAGGCTTGTAACCTGTAGGTGAGTTTTCTACCTGTTACACTGTTTGCCTCTGCGACATTCCATTGTTAATGTCTACATGGCTGTTAACCCACCACATTCTACCAAGTGCTGTGGAAGCCCTTGGTAGAAACTTTCCATGCGATCATTTGCATGTTCACCTCTAAAGCACTTTAATATTATTATAAATTAAACATTGCTCTCTTGTGCTCTTTATGCTGTGCATTTGGACAGAGGTCAGAACTGCAGCAGGTAAGAGCGGTTGGTGTTTCATGTAGATAAAATGAAATGCCAATGATTTTTGTCACAAGTGCCAAGTGTAGACAAATTTGCTTAATTGTAGTGAGCTGGAAGGAAAACCAAAAATAATATTCCTATTCACAATTTTCTGAGGATGAATTGTGAGGAATTCACACCAAGAGCCAAAGAAATATTTGTAGTACTTTTCTGTCCAAGGCAGGAGTGACTCACATTCATATTTATCAAAAAGAAAAAGCAGTTCACTAAGCACTCGTGCTCTGGCAGTTTTCCCAGATGGTTTATTGATTCATTCTTTACATTTTAGCTTCAGTACTAGAAGTTTCTTATGTTTCAGAAGATGGATGCGTGAATTCATGCTAAAGGACTATTTTAGGGACAAAGACAAAGGAACATTTTTAAAAGCAGACTCTTCTGGGGATTGTGTGAATTATTTTTTCAGTTTTTCTTTCACGGAGTGACAGCAATCAGGTAAATTAGATGTGTTCAAAGAACAACTGCAGCTGTGTGTCGCCCAAGACTCACAGATATTATTGTACGACGTCTGGGAAGTGCAGTTGTAACTTACATGTTTTTCCCAAAGTGTCGATTTTTCTAAATACCCTTTGGGCAGCTTAAGTCTAAATCTTAATATTGTTTAAATATGTTTCTATATTATAGGATGAATAAAATATTTATTTAAAAGAAGTTTTAAAAATCAGGTTCTCCAAAGTGTTGAAATGTTCGTTTTCAAAAATTTGAACAAGCGAAGTAACAGTAGCTCAAAAGTTAACATTTAATCTGGTTTAATTTTTAACATTTCCTTTTCCCCAAGAATGACAATTAGGTTTTGAATGCCACCTGCTCTCTCTAAACCATCTAGTTTTAGCTATTTTGTGATGGAAGTGGCCTTTGGAAAATCTAAACGTGTCACTGGGGCAACTCCTTATAACTTGTATCCCCATCCCGTCTAAGGCATCCATCCTGCATGTGTGAATACCTGGGGATACGAAGCAAGACTGTAGAATCCAACATGACTGCTGTTTCCCTCTGGACTGCACGCATCCTAGAGAGCCCATCGGCCCACCTGTCATACATGTGCTTTAAAGTAACGTTGCTGTGTGAAGATTGTTGGTTAGTCTTAGTCATTTGTCACACCACCTGCATTCAGCTTTTGATTTTAAATATGGACGGATACTGTTAAGTATCCAGTCACAAAAAGTTTAATACCTGTAGTGCACACAGCCGTAACCAGTTAACCTGTATTTCTTGTCATATCAGATCTGATTTCTTACTCAAAGGTTTTCTAGCAAAAAATGAGCTTGTAGGGTTTCATAAGAAAAAACTCAGGTAACTTTCATTGCAGTGTATATAACATTTAATTTTTTTGTTTTTAAGATCCAAGAAAACATTCTTGGCCAAAATCTAGGGGAAGTTACTGCCACTTTGTACTGTACAAGGAAAACAAAGACACCATGGATGCTATTAATGTATTGTCCAAATATTTAAGGTTAGTATCTTGTTCTTGTGCCTATACAAAATCAAAACACGGAAATTTATTTTCCTCTTTCCATGTTAATGAAAAAGGAGCGGGAAAATAGGCAAACAAATAGCAAATATGCCTCCCAGTTATAGTTTTCTTAGATAGTAGGTGAGTTAATTATTTTTAACCTCCTTGCGTATTGCCAGTGATTCAAGGTGAAAATTCTGTAAGTAAATAGTTCACACATAGTAGAGAGCAACTAGTCTGCTCAGCTGAACATAAAAGTTGACTTTTTTCCCTGAAGCTTACATTTCGATGTGGTTGCAGAGGTTTACTTTACTAAACTTTAGGGAGATAGACTAGATCGAAAACCTGAGACCAGTTGGATTTCCTCAGAGGAATGCAGATAAAGCAGAGATTAGGTCTCTGAGGATGGGCCAGGTGCTGAAGAACTCTTTTTTTTTTTTTTTAAGAAATGGGTACAGGCACCACAGCAAATCTTGTGCAATACAAATTTGCTTTCTAATATATATTTAACCGAGTGTAAACATGGTGCACAGTGTGTTAATTTGTTGTGGCTTCCATTACAAAATACCACAGATTTAACAGACTAATTTTCTCACCATTCTGGAGACTAGAAGTTTCAGGATCAAGGTGGTATAGGTTTGGGTTTTTTCTCCTTAGCAGAATGCCACCTTTCCATGTCCTCACATGGCCTTTCCTCTGTTGTTGTGTCCCTAGAGTCTCTGTATGTGTCCAAATTTTCTCCTCTTACTAGGATACCAGTCAGATTGGATGAGGGCTCACCCTATGGCCTCATTTTAACTTAATCACCTCTTTAAGAGTTCTGTCTTCAAATGCAGTCGTATTTAGAAGTACTGGGAGGCAGGGCTTCACCATATGAATTTGGGGGGCAACACAGTTCAGCCCATAGAACACTGTACCCAATCAGGTAACATTTTCTTTCCCTCTGGTTGCTAGATCTCTAGAAGAGAGTTGGTGATGCCTTGTCTATACCTGAGCCTGGGAGGATAGACAATTCCTGATGGGAGGGTAGACAGTCAGGGAGGGAGTTGCTCTGAGATCTGGCTTGAGAATTGTTCAGAGTTCAAGAAATTCTTTCTGTTTTTCCTCTGGTTAGTGTGGAGCAGTTTTTATAAAATACGTCTTAGGAAACTAGCTTACTTATATCTTCATAGTAAAACTATTCAGATCCCTGTTTCAGCATTTGGCTTTTTTATACAAAGAAATAGCATGTATATACATAAAGTTCACATCATTATCAACTTTTTAAAAATTGAAGATAGAAGATTTTCAAAGTGGCACATCATATATATATCTAGAATGAGTTTTTCTTTGCCTTCACAGCTATGTAATGTAATGCATTGCATATGATCAATAGGGAGTACATTATTTCCTTTTTATTACTGTTTAGCCAAGTCTTTGAACAGCATGTTATTGATTTATAGTCACAAACGTTCTAAGTCAAGCACTGCTAGGAAGGGAGTTGTTCAGGCATCATTTACTTTCTTATGTTGCATATTATGTTTTCCTGGGTACATTTTTTAATTGTTTCTCCTTATTCTCTTAATATGTTAATGATTTTAAGTATATTTTGAATCTTAAATTATAAAAAATATGATTTCCTACTGGTATGCAAATTCAGGTGGTTTTGTTTTTGTCTTTCCAGAGTCAAGCCAAACATATTCTCCTACATGGGAACAAAAGATAAAAGGGCCATTACTGTTCAAGAGATTGCTGTTCTCAAGTAAGTAGAAAGTACATATTGGGGTTCATATTGCAAAAATCCCAGCACCACCTTTCAGAGTTCTCAAATTTGCTTTGTGGAGTGTACGTCTTCAGTCTTTAGATGGTGTCTCTGCCTATTCAAAAATTATTTTTCTGGTTTTTTCTTTCTTATTTGTATTTTCTAATGCTTTTACAGAAAACAGGTATTTTTTGTGTAATTTTTAAGGGGTTTCTGTGGTAGAGCCAAGAGAATAGTACCTATTTCTCTCTCTTTTGTTCGTTCATTATTAAATATAAGTTATTTAAAATTCAATTACAAAACAGGGAGTGAGCTCTTATTACACACTGCAGATAGACATGAAAAAGATGGTCTCTGATTCTGAAGCAGTTATTTAATAGAGCAGACAAGTAAATCAGAACTTGTCACACAGTGAGATTAATGCTATAATAGAGGTATATTGGTGGTATTAGGGTAGATCTGACAACAAAACATGAGACTTGTCCTTGGGGGGCAGCCAGGGAAAGCTTTCTTAGAAAATGGGATGCTAGAGTTTTAATCTAGATCAGGGCTTCTTAGTCTCTTTACTGTTGACATATAGGCCAGATAATTCTGTTGTGGGGGTCATCCTGTGCATTGTAGGACATTTAGCAGCAGCCCTGGCTGCTGTCTGTCCCCTAGATGTCAGTAGCATTTCCCCGTGCCTCTTACTTGTGACAACCAAAAATGTCTCCAGACATTGCCATTTTCCCTTGAAGAGCAAAATTTCCCCTGGTTGAGGACCACCAGCCTAGAAGGATGAGTAGGAATTCCCTGGGACTGGGGCGGGTCTAGGGTTATTTGTTCAAAACTGAGAAAACAGCTTGTGAAAAGACACTGGAAAGGAACAGGTAACAGCACATTGGGTGCCTGGCAAGTACTTTAGTTGTGTGGGAGCACAGCAAGAAATAAGGCTTGAGGGGTAGGCAGAATCCAGCTTCTGAAGAGCCCTACAAGCCGTGTTCAGGATGTTGGACTTGACCTTGATCTACACAGGGGAAGTTGTGTTTAGAGGCAGGATTATGGGTTGTGGGGATATTACCACGTTCTGAGGAGGAACAGGAGTCTGAACCCAGTTGGTTCAGTGAAGGTAAAAGGGAAAGGATGCATTCAGCTCTGTGGGGTCAGACAAACTCAGGCTTTCATCTTAGTGTACCCCTGAGGTAAGGAATGCTGGGAGGAAGAAATAAAGGGGCAGGAGGAAACTTGGGGATGATGGATATGTTCATTATCTTGAATGTGGTGATGGTTTCATGGGCTTATTCACATATTAAAACTTGTACATTTTTCATATGTACACTTTACCTTGTGTTAATTATAATTAAAAATAAAGTCATTGGTGCTTATTATCCCCACTTAAAATAAATACATATATTTACTTGTAATTCCCCTATCTTTTCATAATGAATCTGAGGTGGCATCTCCTCTTTACCACACAATCTGGCTTCTCTCCCATTAGTTTTCTAATTCATTGAAATAATGTCAAGATTGAGCTCTGGGTTTCATCACAATGGATTTTCCAGTCCTTTTCTCGCCTGACCTGAGATGGTGGTGTGCTGTAGTAGTAAAGCAGAGTGAGAACGTGTTCTCTCCATGACTTTGCTAGCAGTGCGCAAATGTGGATGTGTGAAAGAGAGCAGGAGGACACACCTGAAGATGATGGTGCGCCTACCTTCCTGCCTTATCTCTTTTTCCTTCTGTGATGCATGGAATGTGGTCATCTGTTGAGAGTGAAGTGGGCAGGAGTGGAGAAGGGAACTTGAAAACAGTATGAAGATTGGAAACAGCCTCTGTGGGAAATGGGCCAGGGCTGACCAGAAACTGAAGAATGGGAGAGCGACGGGCTTGAGGGCTTAGGCTTCCCGTACTCTATGGATGTGGGACATGGAAGGTTGTTGCCTTCTCTTTGATATCTAAAATATTACTCTAGTCAACTCCTGTTCTTTCTGGATGTCTCTGTGAATTTTTCACCTAAATTAAAATGTAAGTTGGTTAGTTTTATTTTTAACACAGAAGAAACCAGGTAGAAAATGAAAGTTCTGCCATAATTGTACTCCCTCAGAGATTGCCTTGTTCATAGCTTATTATATTTTTTGTGAGGACTCTTTTTTTCCCCTCATAAACCAAAATATTTATATAAAGTTCCTCTCTTGTGAGCAGTAAATTATGCATTTCTTTCCCTGTTAATAAAAATATTATAATACATAGCAAAAGATATTTAAATATATGGATATATCCTAATTTATCAACTATTACTCTATTTTTGAATGTTTACATTGTTTCCCATTTCTTCCTATTATAAGCAATTACAGGACAGACATATTGTTGACTGAATATTGGCACACATCTATGATTAACTTCATTAAGATAATTTTAGTAGTGGGATTACTGATTTAAAAAAATTTTTTTTAATGTCTTTATTGATTTCAGAGATAGAAACATCAATGATGAGAGTCATTGACTGGCTGCCTCCTGCATGCCCCCTACTGGGGATCGAGCCCGCAACCCGGGCATGTGCCCTGACCAGGAATCGAACTTCAATTTCCTGGATCATATAGGTCGACACTCAACTGCCAAGCCACACTGGCTGGTTAATGTTTGTTTTTTAGAGAGAGAGAGAGAGGAAGAGGGAGGGAGAAACATCGATGAGAAAAACATCAATCGGCTGCCTCCTGCATTCCCCCTACTGGGGATTGAGCCTACAACCCGGGAATGTGCCCTAACTAGGAATCAAACCAGTGACCTCTTGGTGCATGGGATGATGCTCTACCAACTGAGCCACACTGGCCAGAGCAGTGGAATTACTGATTTAAAGGGATTGTGATATTCTAGATTTTATGTTTTTGATAGCAAAGCCTAATTGCCCCAGAGAAAGGTGGTACCTATCATCTTTATTCTGCTTCCCCAGAATTCTCCCAAGTATGTGTTATAACTTTTTAAAAAATAATTTGCTAATTTGAAGGTCAAAGAAAAAGGCACATCATTCATTTCTATTGCATTATATGATGTGAAATTTTTGAATATTTGGAGTGAAGGTATTTATTCTCTTCTTGGTCAGCCACCAGGTGTCACACTTTATCACAATGCTAATCTGTCTTCAGACCTTTGCTGCCTTTATCATCTCCTGTTGACTTAGTAAGAAACTGCATTAGACCTAAATGTTGGCCTTTGGAAAGCACATAGCACTTATCTCACGGATGCAGGCTACACCCTTAGTTTGCTTAATGAATATGTGGGGCTGGGCAGATTGGCCTTTCCCGTGAGAACTGTTGAACAGGATAAACCCACTCTACCATGCAAGGATTTTCATTATTGCTGAATCGGTCAATCCTGAGGATAAGCTGCATTTCTTTTCAGATTCATGAAACTCTCCAAAGTCACCTAGTAATTTTAACAGGATCTCAAGCAGAAACCCCCTCATTCAGAATGACTTGTTTGTTTTCCTGCCTCTCCCTGCCAGTCTCCTTTCTGAGCCTGAGCCAGTATTTCCCTGGCTTTGTTAATAAAGGCTTTTTGTGCAACATGCTGCTTAAGTTGGTGTTTAAAAGTGAGATTGTTATTCCCAAATTATTCACAGAATCTGCTATGAATTTACAACCAAAAAGTTTGATTCAGGGTCATCAAAATTAAAACTGAATAGTTTTGTGAAGATACTGTCAACTCCATTTCATCTGTTCTCCGGGAACAGCCACACCAGCAAGAACTGAGTGTACCTCTTGCTTTCTGCTATGCCAGTGGGATTCAGAAACACGTCTGTTGTATATTCAAGAACAGACAATAGAGTACGATTCATTCAAAAAAAGAAATGAAGTACTGATACATACTCCAACATGGATGAATCTTAAAAACATTATGTCAAGTAAAAGAAATCAGACACAAAAGGACACCTGTTATATGATTATATTCTTATGAAATGTCCAAAATAGAGAAATCTATAGAGACAGAAAGTAGATTAGCGGTTGCCAGGGGCTGTGGGAGAGGGAATGGGATTAATAACTACAGGGTTTCTTTTGGGGGTGATGGAAATATGCTAGAATTAGATAGTGGTGACAGTTGCACAGCCATGTGAATATGCTAGAAACCACTGAATTGTGCACTTTATAATAGTTAAAATGAAAATTTTTATGTTAATTTTGTCTCAACTTTTAAAAAAAGAACAGCATTGTTCGGCACGTCCATGGCTATTAGGGAGCAGTCTCCAGAATGTCTCCAGAGCTGCCAAGTTGCTGCCTGTGTGATTCCTTTTTGCCTCCTGACTCTTATATATTCTGTTTGTTTCTATAGAAGTAGTTATTCACCAGAGAGGGTTATGTCCTCCTAGGTATGCCTCACTGTCTTCATCCTGATCCTCTACTTTCTGGTTTCTTTGGGATATAGTTCCTGGATTAATTTATGCCCTGTGGTTCTACCGTTGTTCTGAAGTCGAGGACCTGGTGCCTCAGATTGGACAGAATTGAGGGCAGAGAGGGAGGGTAATAAAGTATGAGTTTCATCCATTTCCTAACTTCCCTGGCTAGCTTTTTTCATTTTATGTAGGGTGTCCCCAAAAATGCATACACACTTTAACAGCTGATAACTCACCTGATTTTCACTCCTTTTCAGGTTTAACTGATTTGAAATAGTGCATGAAGCCAGACTAAGTTTTAAACAAAGAAAATTTATCCTACAGTGCCACTAGATTTTTTTTTTATGGGGATACATAAAAGATAAAGTTTACAGTACAGAACTGGCAACAGTTGACAAATTGAGTGTACACAAATACTGAACAAAATGATTTTTTAAAAAATTTATCTTCATTGTTGAAAGTATTACAAATGTCTCCCTTTTCCCCCCATTGATCCCCTCACCATGCACCCCTCCCCCCAGGCCTTCACCACACTATTGTCTGTGTCCATGGGTTATGCATATGTGCATATAAGTTTTTAGGTTCATC